TTATTTATAAGATGAAGCCGCCCTGCATGGTGGGTTTAAGACTTGGTTGTTGTTGCTGCTAATTTATAAGATGAAGCCGACCCCGTATGGTAAGTTTAAGACTTGGTTGTTGTTGTTGCTAATTTATAAGATGAAGATTTCTAGAGCTTATATGACCTGGGGAAGATATATGAGTTTGTGTATTGATTTTGTGGTATGATTGATTGTTCAATTTTCTTATACCAATTTAGATTTGCTCTTGAACATGTAGAAGTACATACTAGCACAGATTCTCCTTGCTGGTGGTGCTTTGACAGTAGAAGAGTAGATGCATTCAGTACTATGTATCAAAGTGCAGTCTCTATTGACTAATCTTCATCTTGACCAACATTGCTTTAGTCATTCCTGGACTAATGCATCAGTTATTTTCGTTGTTCACAGTTTCTTTAAATATGGTAGTTGATGCTACATTTCTCTTTGTTATTTCTCTGAATGTAGTCTTTACAGAAAAATCGAGGACGAGGCATCTCCTGATGATGCTCGGGTAATAGCTAACTATCTTGTTGTGTCTTGTAGCCAGGATCTAATTCTGGCCAGGGTAGAAAGGTAGCTTGTTGAGGCTTTTAGAAGCAGTGAAGATAAATTCTAGGAATCTGGTTAAGTCTTTTGATCATCATGGATAGCAGACAGAAGGGAACCCTCATGGACAATAAAAGTGCTGAATCTATATCAGTCGTGGTATGGTGAATTATTTAACTTTTTTCTCATGTGATGTTAGAAATTCATCCGAGGAATTAACTGCATTAACTATAAGTCTATAACCTATAATTAGCCTCAACTATCCCTGATCCGGTGCCGATTAGATTTTTTAGTATAGTCTGTAGCATTCTGTTAAGTCAATGCATATATTTGTCTGGATCATGCTTTTAAGAAACATTCTTTATTAAATGACCCGGTTTTGTCAGATCATATTTTATAGCCATTTGATTTATTCACTAAGTTATGTGATATTTGAAACTCGAGGAGGGGCTAAGTAGACTACAATGACTTTCATTGATGATCTAAATGAGAATTTCCCAGGATCACCTTTAATTGAAATTGGTTACTAGATGACTATAAGACTGTAAGAATAATCATGATCCGTCGTCGAGAACTTTATTGTGACCTCAATCTAAATTCCCTAACATGCTAGAACATTTCCATTTTATCTCAGTAAAGTCAAGTGAGTGTTGAAACATTATAGTCAGAAAGCTGTCATACCAAATTCATCGAAATTTCTAATCATTACATAACTATCCACTTCTTCTAGCTGCCATACTCAACTTTTGGCAATTATGCTACAGGAACTGCAGCAATACAAGAAGAAGCAGAGAAAAACAAACTCTAGTCCAGAAGAGACACAAAATCAATCCCGCTGTCTTATCTGCACAGGGAAGAATTGTTGTCAAACAGTTCATTTAAGAACAAAGCTGATGAATACTTTGATTGGAAAGGGGAAACCACAGGAAGCTCAGGCCATATTTAATAGTTTAACAGAAGAAGGACATAGGCCAACTCTTATAACATACACAACTCTTGTGGCTGCCCTAACCCGCCAGAAGCGCTTCAAGTCCATTCCTTCACTTCTTTCTAAAGTTGAAGAAAATGGAATGAAGCCTGATTCAATACTTTTCAATGCTATGATCAATGCTTTTTCTGATTCTGGTAAGGCCGATGAAGCCATGAAAATCTATCAGAAAATGAAGGAATATGGATGTAAACCTACAACTAGATTTTCATGGCTTTAATGAGAGTGTTTAAAGGTTTTGGAGTTGCTGGAAGGCCTTATGAATCGATGAAATTGCTAGAGATGATGGGCCAAGAAGAGAAAGTGAAACCGAATGAGAGAACATATAATATTGTTATCAAAGCGTTTTGTACCGCGAAGAAACTGGAAGAGGCATGGGGTGTTTTACACAAGATGGTGGCCTCTGGCCTGCAACCTGATGTTGTAACATACAACACGCTGGCAAGGGCTTATGCTCAGAATGGTGAGACAGAAAAGGCTGAAAGGTTGATATTGAAAATGCAGTACAACAAATTGAAGCCTAATGAAAGAACTTGTGGTATCATAATAAGTGGTTATTGCAAGGAAGGCAATATGACAGATGCCTTGAGATTTCTACACAAAATGAAGGAGCTAGGAGTACATCGAAATCCAGTAGTTTTCAACTCTCTTATCAAAGGATATCTCGATACTACTGACACAGATGGTGTAGATGAGGTGAGTTCTAATACATGACATTTCTCTTAAGATCAATATTTTCTTGTATGTGATTTTTATCCATAATTGCGACATACTGAAGGAACATTAACACCACAGCAAGATTGTTACTTTTAATATAAGAATTTGCATGCTTATTGTATATCATGTTGACTTGTAAGTATTCGGTGTTTAGCATTGTGGTAAAGATAGTAACTCAATCAAAATTGGTCAGGCACTGACATTAATGGAAGAATTTGGGATCAAACCAGATGTAGTGACATTCAGCACCATCATGAATGCATGGAGTTCAGCAGGGCTTATGGGCAATTGTGAAGAGATATTCAATGATATGGTGAAGGGTGGGATAGAACCTGACATCCACACTTATAGCATCCTTGCAAAAGGCTATGTTCGTTCTGGACAGACACGAAAAGCGGAAGAACTTATCACTTCCATGAGCAAATATGGTGTACAACCAAATGTTGTGATCTTTACTACCATAATCAGTGGATGGTGTACCGAAGGCAAAATGGATCGCGCTATTAAACTTTACGAGAAAATGGGAATTTCCTCCAATTTGAAAACCTATGAAACCTTAATATGGGGGTACGGAGAAGCAAAACAACCATGGAAAGCAGAAGAGTTACTTGTTGCTATGGAAGAGAAGGGTGTTTCTCCTGAAATGACCACTATGCAACTGGTTGCTGATGCTTGGCGCTCTGTTGGTTTATTTACAGAAGCCAACAGAATTATAAATGATGCACAAGAAGAATCTGAGCTAGACCACAACTTTGAAAATGACAATACACCGGTGCAAAGCTTGGAGATGATTTATAAGAAACAGAAACTCAGTGCATCTCAACCTAATCTCTTGCAAATACCTGAAGAAGTGGTAGCTCATCCAGAAAGAACAACTAATGACAACATAAGAAGCCAAAAGATAATCAAAAGAACTGACATCATGAGGAACGCTACGACTTCGATGACATTTGTTCGTACTAGTTCATATGGGGTGCAGCCACTTATTGTAAGTAGACACCAAATTCAGAACCATATTGTTAGGCATTTCCTTCTTGACTGTTGCAGATTAGTGTCAATACACTGATGAGGAGTTAAGGCATCTCATGTTGATTCGTGATGAAACACGGAGCTGTCTGAATAGATTTATTTGCTTCCATGACAGTACAACACATCATGCTGATGAGTTCTGCTGGAGAAATTGTAATTATCATTCACAGACTTCAGTAATCAGAACATAAACTTACAAGTGTTTACTTGCCAATGAAATGTAAGATATATGATAGCAGAGACTACTCTATAAATATAAGCCCGTTTTCTGACTCTTAACTACCTACTCTAATCATATCTAAATCTCTTTTCATACAACCCAACATTGCAAGCAAAGAACTTCATAAATATAGGTTAGATAGAACCTAACCTGCAAGTAAACAACTTTATATGCCACAAAATTCAAATGCAATGGCATCGGTAAGAGCAACCCAAAAAGCCATATAGTTATGGCAAATATGTCTTCTCTCCCAAGTTTCTAATACGTATATATGAATTCTCCAACCCATGAAAATAAAAATAATCCATGCAAAATTTTCATTGTACATCCACAATATTCGCATCACATCTTTAGGAGTTTGTTTCCACGAGTCCCCTGGCTCAATCTCATCTTGGAAAATACCTAAAGCCTCTAAAATCTCATCACGCTTGAAACTTCAATAGGAGTTTGCATCAACATACTTGTGACATTTTATATTAATTTTACGATATTTTACTATGATGATCAATTTATGAGATATATGGTATGGTGAGTGCAATACGTATGATAAATGAGCAACTAATGTAACTAAAATATTAGAATACAGCAACGATTGATCCATCCTATTAAGAAATAGTTCATAGCCGATAAGGTCATGAGTTTAACTTCTATTGCAGCGGAATAAAGTCCTTACCGGAATCTTTTTAAATCGTTGTAATTAAGTGTGTGGATTTGGGTATTGGTGTGGAAGAAGTGAATTTGAGAAGTGGAATTGAAGGGATTGGCACCGCACAATTTCGGTTTTTGAAAAGATGAGGAGGTTGTTGTATTCACAATTCTTTCAAACAAGAACCCATGGATTTTCTTTGTGATTGATATCAATTTTCATAACATCGCATTCTACAGTTCATGATTAATCTGAAATAATATCATGATTCAGTTATAATGAATCATCTGAAATAATATCATGATTCAGTTATAATGAATCATCTGAAAATATCATGATTCAGTTATAATGAACCATCTTAAATAATATCATGATTCAGTATAACAAATACTTCAATTTTAACAGATATAAAATTTTCTATTATATTGCAATATAAAATACAGCAAAAATAACAAACACTCACTTTAAAAACAATGATTTAGTATAACATTATTCAGTACAACAAAACATTCTATTACATTGCAATATAAAATACAAAAATAACTTGTTACATTCATTGACAAATCAAATTAACAAACACTCACTTTAAAAAAATTGATTTAATGACATTACAAGAGCAAATCAGCAAACCATTACACCATTGCTAAACAAAACATAGGATGTTTTGAATGAACAAAAATCTAGTGGGCATTTTCCATACAGAATCATAATTATCCTGAATTCTATGAAGGAGCTCCAAGATAACTAATCTACACTGGAAACCTATCTGTAGAAAACAAGATTATCAATAAAATGCATCAATTAAAACCTTTAAGAAAAGAGGTCTGGCAAAAGTATAAATTGGCCTCAGACATCCAAGGAAGGATAAAGCAGCATTAACTCTCAAGCCTGGCGAAGGCGAAAGTTCTTAGGCGGCCACTGCGAATGTCTTGAGAAACAAGCCTTTCTTTTATCATCACTGGCCACAAGTACTACAAAATAATGAAACATAAAACAAAACATTTGTGCATCCTCTTTCGAGAGAAGTATTTCTTCACATTACTACGATAATATTATCTCGAATTAGTAGAATATGCTTATACCCTTTGCTTCAAACAGCAAAGAAGAAACACCTATATTAAACAATAAACGAATATTTCAAAATCACAAAACAAGGGAGTGTAAACTCTCAGACATCCAAGGAAGGATAAAGCAGCATTAACTCTCAAGCCTGGCGAAAGCGAAAGCTCTTAGGCGGCCACTGCGAATGTTTTGAGAAACAAGCCTTAGGATTATCATCATAGAACATCGCATTCCAAATAACTAGTAATAAAAGAAAACTTAAATAAAACATAAATGGTTACAAGTCTCAGACATCCAAGGAAGGATAAAACAGCATTAGCTCTCAAGCCTGGCGAAGGCGAAAGCTCTTGGTCGGCCACTGCGAATGTTTTGAGAAACAAGCCTTCAAATTATCATCATCGACGTAACCGATTCAATCAAATTTGGGAACAACAAACACAATAAGAAATTAACAAAGGTAAATAACGGATAATTCAAGAATTTACGAAGGGGTCATCAGATAGGAGCGAAAGACTATAAGAATTAAATAATCACAGATAATCATCTGAACTATGCATTTAAAATCATCACTTGAACCCTTCCAAAACAATCGTCACTAAATAATTGAAACAATCACTGAATAAGGTACTTTTAAAAAATAAACTTGACATATTACAGAAATTTATGAAAAATTAAGCCTCAGAAGGAAGGCAGTAGGTAATGGTAATCATGAAATTTCATACATTACACGTTAACCATTTCTTGCATCATAGGCAGATCACAGAATAAAGAATCAAAATATATAAACAGATTAAATTTTGAAATAAAACATGATAATTGGCCTCATAGAGAAGATTAGATTGTTCAACATAAGTTAGTTCAGACATATGCTTGTCTTTATTTAGATTTAATCATTGGCCAACTGAAAAATCAGAAACCCTAGTTATAAATAACATACAGAAAAGCTAAACAAAAGAACGAGAAATGAATATGAAAAAATGAGGGACTCGGAATATGGGTGGTGATATAGCAGAATGGTCGGCAAGGCCAAAAGGCCAATTACGACGAACGAGACCTTAACTATAAATCATCATCGTCCCAGATGAATCTTAAAAACAAACATAGAAAAACAAAGATTGAGAACAAATACACTATGCTATAGAAAGAGGGAGGGGGAGAGAGAGAAGCGTGAAATGAAAGAGGGGAGTGTGTGGGTTATAAAGAGGGGAAAAGAGAGAACTAGGGTTTTGGTAAAGCGGCGGCGAGAGATTCATGTTAACGTGTCTCTAGAATGTGCCCATGGACCTTGGTGCATTTTCATTTACCCGACCCGCAAAATAAAAATCAGAGATCTATTTAAAAATAATAATGATGATGCAAAATTATTTAAATGTAGATAGGATAAATGGGAAAGCAATTTGTTATTTGAATTTTTTACTGGGGATCTTTGAACAAGAAAGTCTGAAGATTTTATTTAGAAGTAGTCTTTAAAAAATTTGTGACTGCCACTCAAGAATTCTTTTGTGCCATAATAATTAAATCCCTAAAAAACTATATTAAATTAGGAAAATGAAAATTTTTCAAGAATTAATTCGCTCCTTAAAGTAAACTTTAGGGATTTTTAGGTTATTTTATTTTCTAACCCAAATTATCTCATTAATATAATATTCGAGGTCTGTTTTTGGGATTGGTCTTTATCCTAATATGCTCAATAATTTTGGTAAAAGTTTAGATACCATAATCATGATATTGATTTTTTTTTGTATATGAAACATGTTTTCTTAGTAGAGACAAAACTCACATATGCATAATAAATATGAGGAATGATTTATAAGTTGAGGCATATTCTAAGCTTGACACACTTCTTAATTTAACTCATCTAATCTATATCATATATAACAAAATAAAGTATTTCTTGCCACATGTCATATTCTCATCACTTCTTTTTCCTCCTAAAATGTTATATACTACTATGTACATTTTCACACTATATCCTCACTTTTCTACATTTTATATTTTAACAATTTTATATTCATTTCTACCATTACTCCTTCATCTATCATTTACATCTTCGTTTCTCTCATACTATTACGTTTCGTTCTCATGATTTACTTTGTCATCATCACAAAATATATGTTTTTCTCTTTCTCTTCAAACAACATTTCTCTTCAACAATCTTTTCCTTCCAATTATCTTTTTTTGTTTATTTTTCCATTGATTTCTTTATTTTTTTATTAGTGTTCTTAATGATTTCATTATTTTTTAGATAGGTTCTTCCAACATTTCTCTCCGTTAGAGTCTGATAAGCAAGGGTATCATCCTAAAGGATAACCAAACCTTCAAAACACGTGGTATGTACTCAATCTCATTATATATATATATATATGCATTCAATTGCAATATTCCATTTGTTTGTTTTTATTATTGATATATTTATTTTGTTCTTAACATTTTCTCTCTTCATTTGTAGTTTGGTTCTCCCTTATAGCATCTATACATTTTAGTTTTATCTCTCTTAATCTCTTATTTTATTTATACACTTTTTTATACATAAAATCAATAATTTAATTTTTTGTTTTGCATGTTTCAGAACCACATGAATTATATTGTACTCTGAAATAAGGTAAGAATCATAGTTAGTTATTTACGTTTTTGTATTTTATTTTTTTATTCGGTGATTTTAAAAATATGTTGTTTAAAATATATATTTGTTGCTTATGTTACCGCAATCATTTGGGTCCACCGAGAATGGTAGAACTAATAGATTCAATGATCTTCTCTCTTCTTTGGCATTTTGGTTATCTTTGACAAATTTTTGAATTATTTTGTATGATATAATTAAAAATAATAATATGTCAATTCTAACTTTTATTTTTCTTTTCTTCTTACATCTACATGTACTAAAATAGTTATAAATTCAAACATTTCATTTTTACGTTTCATGTATAGCAAATGTGTAGTCAAATGCTCATGAAGTATTTAGTTAACTACTTAAACAAATTTCTCCATTTTTATACATAAATGTAACAAAAATAAAGATATTTCATTTTCAAATATAATTTCCTTATATTATTACAATTGCTCGTAATTCTTAACATAAGTGAATGAATATCACATTAGAGACAACCTTTATTTCGAAAAATAATATAAACATTTAATTACAACATTCTCATTTTAATTTCATTTATTACAATTGTTCATGCATTTAAATAGCGCTGATTGCTGATCATTTATTGCTATTACTTTTTAACGTCCATACATTTTAATTTCATTTATTACTACTTTAATTGATGATCAGTTGCAAACTAATAATTAATAATTAATAATTACTTTGAATAAATACTGTCGATGATTAGTATAGAAATAAAACTCATAAACATGTCTATGAGAATAAAAACAGATATTGTCATTTAATGTAGTACTTATTGGTGAGATCGGTGATGCTATTCAAGTTGACAAATAATGTATAGTAATCACTACGTGCAAATTAGTATGTATGCTTTATTTAAAAAAATCTAAAAATTTAATTAAATTGTTCTCATTTTCATTTATTAATATTGTACATACATTTTCATTACTATCTTTAAAATAATTTAGCAGATTTAATCCTAAATAATTAAGGTCTCCATTATTTTGAAAAAGAATCGAACTAAATAATTATAACTATTCTATTTCAATTATCATTTATTACTAAAATTTCATTTATATATATTAAAATATTATTTTCGAAGTTTTCATACTAAATGGTTAAACCCATATTTATTTCGAAAAAATCTAAATAATAATTACAATGTCCCCTTTTGTATACTTAAAAAAAATACTAAATAATAAACCAATTACACAAGTAATAAAAAATAATATCCTAGAAATAAAAGAAATTATAAACAAGTTACATTAAGAAATAATAACAATAATATCATAAAACTAAATAAGTTCTCCATATGTACGTGTATATTAAGAATTAATAATATAAGTTTTTATTGTATTTATTAGTTACCCAAATATATAGATTATAGAATATGAAAATCAATAATAAAAAAAATACAAAAGTATACGAGTAACATGTATTTTCTTAGTAGTGCGAATGTATGGATAACATGTGTATTTTTAATCATGTGATTGCACTGATCACATGTGTTCTTAACAATATGAATCCACATGTAACATGTGTTTAACCGTGCAAATGCACGAATAACATGTGTGTTCTTAACCATATGAATGCATATGTAATATGTGTTTTTAATCATACGACAAAAATATTATCTCGTACAAATGCACGAGTTACTTGCTAGTTTTTCAATAAAAACATGCTCTACTAACAAATATTTATTTAGTCCTTTGAAAATTGGTGTTCATGAAATTTGAGCCTTCCATTCATATCTTATTAGTTAGTCAACTAGTTAATGCCCAACTTATAACTTGTATTCAAGTTATATATCTTTATTATATGGTTAGGTCCATTGATATATGGGCCCAAGGCTAATATTAAAATCGAGTAGTTTCTAGGCTAATAATGTATTTTATAAAATAAAGGTTTTTTTTTTTTTTAAGTATAGAAAATTGAAGAATAGTTTATGTAATTTTACTAAAACTTATGAAGTATCAGTATATTTTAAATGTGTTTTTGAAATTAAAAAGAAAAACGGGCCAGACATGCCAAATGTGAGTCGGGCTGGCATGTTGAACCCTTTTAGCAATAAGGATCGGGCCAACTCAGCCCATATTTTGGTCGGACAGAGTCGGGCCGGTCCAACCCGTTTTGCTCCCCTACTTATTACTGATTTAGATATTCTAAAAGTATATGCCTAAAACAAATGTAACCTCCAATAATACAAAGTGGATCAGAATAAATATGTTAAAAATGCTTTTTTGAACATTGAATAGCAAATACATAAAAGAAATAATCAAATCCAATGGGGTTGGTACACTCGTGAAAAATTAGCACACTTTATCATGCAAAGTATACAATATTTCATTCTCCTACTTGAACTTAAAATATATTTGATTTGGAAATTACAATTTCAAACTATAAATTCTATAAAAAAAACATAAACCATTGTGTCCTTAGTAATTTTCACCGTACCCACAATTACATATATTCTTTACAACTCTTACATCGTACAAGCAAATACACTAATAAAAATTGTGGTTAATAAATGTTGATCAAGTGCAGCTATTATGGTAAAACGAATTATTTTATTGACTTAATGCAACTAACTTAAATGCTCCAATTTTATAGAATAATAGTTTTCTCAGTTGAAAGCCTGAATCAGCACTCAAAATTAGACAAATTCCCTATAAATAACAAGTGTTGACCCATCATATTATGCACAGCTAGAAATTTGGGAATCCTACCAAGGAGTAACTTTTCGTATGGCTACCAAACTATAATTCCAAGCAAATGCTAAATTCTACATTCCGTTATACAGAAATGAGTATCATAGATACCATCAGAGGCTAACACTTTCTCATAGATCAACAATATAAATACAAAACTTGCATTGGCAACACAAACTAGGTGCGACTTGCCATTCTGATGGCTCCATATGAAACCAAGTAAGGAACTAAAAGAATAACTGCTATATCCTTCAACTTCATCTTCTCTGAGGTCTACTGATATCCACTGGATCACGTGAATCAAGTGTTGATAGGATCTGCGGCATTGACATACCGCCAGAAACGACAATTTCTGCAAAACTTAACATATGTTAAAAAGTAAAATACATGGGAATGAATTCAAATAGATTAAAAGGACGGCTGAGTGCACGAGGCTCCCACTTAATGGGGTCTGGGAGGGTAGACATACGCAGTCTTGCATGGATATGATAATTACACAAACTATGTCATGTGCAGAATCAATTGCAACGAGATTAGAGTGCCATATAGTGGTTGTATGTGAGTGAGTGTAGAGTGTAGACTGTAGACATGCAACTATTCAGTCCTTTTAATAATTATAAGGCTAAAAGCTCCAACTCCACTAAATCATAAGCAGAGGGAGCCCAAAAAGCAGTTCATTTGGGGGGGAAACAAACCACATTCATCATAATGGTATGTTGAAAAATAGATAAATAACATTGCTTTGACATCTATAATTCAAGA